CCTCCTTTTTAATATCTACATGCTCCCTCTCGCTCAGTTAATTAAAAAAACAACATTAGCTACCATAACTATGCTGACGACACACAGCTTTACATCACCATGTCACCAGATGATTATGAACCAATTGAAGCACTGATGAAATGCTTAGAAGACATCAATGCCTGGATGTGCCATAATTTTCTTCAACTGAATAAAAACAAAACTGAAGTAATAATCTTTGGACCAATAGAGGAGAGATCTAAAGTTAGCACACAGCTACAGTCGCTTCAGCTAGTAACCACTGATCAGGCCCGAAGTCTAGGTGTAGTACTGGATTCAGACTTGAACCTCCAAAAGCATTTAAGGACAATTACAAGGTCGGCTTTCTATCACCTGAAGAACATTTGTAGGATTAAAGGACTAATGTCTCAGCACGATCTGGAAAAACTAATCCATGCGTTTATTTTTAGTCGAATTGATTACTGCAACGGTGTTTTCACAGGTCTGCCTAAAAAGTGGATCAGACTGCTGCAGCTGATCCAGAACACTGCTGTCGGTGTTCTCACTGAGACTAAGAAAGTAGAGCACATCACCCCAGTTCTAAAGTCCTTACACTGGCTCCCTGTATCTCAGAGAATAGACTTTAAAATACTTCTGTTAGTCTATAAATCTCTGAATGGCTTAGCACCTAAATACATCACAGACTTGCTATCAGTGTACCAACCCTCCAGACCACTCAGGTCATCTGGCTCCAGCCTGCTCTGCATACCTAGAACCAGAACTAAACATGGAGAAGCAGCATTTAGTTCCTATGCTCCACTTTTCTGGAACAAACTTCCAGAAAACTGTAAAAGTGCGGAAAGCCTGAGTTCCTTTAAATCAAGACTAAAAACACATTTGTTTAGGATTGCCTTCGACTGCTCTAGTTAAACAGTTCAACTGAAACATTACTTCTTTATTTTCTTTAGTCCAACTGTTTTTAATATTCTTTCTTGTTTCTGCATCTTTTTTATTATTCTTTTATTTTTTCTTCTACTTGCTCTGATTATATTTTATTTTCCTATATTTTAATCATGTAAAGCACTTTGCATTGTCTTTGTACTGAATTGTGCTATACAAATACATTTGCCCTGCTTTGCCTCAGACCGTCCAGGAGCTCAGTGGTGCCCTGGCCCAGATCTGGGAGGAGAAACCACAGGACGCCATCCGTCGTCTCATTAGGAGCATGTCCCACACACACGTGGTGGCCATAAAAATTACTGAATACCATTTTGAGTTGTTGAAACTTAAGCGAAATGGACTAGCCTGCGGCATCATTTTTTGGGGTGTCATTGAATTCATCCCTCTGTAGGCTGATAATTTTCATTTCCATCAAATGATGTGGCATCCTTTTGTTCCTAACACATCACCCATTCCATATCAATAGAAATAAACAGCATGATATTTTTGCCCTAATGAGATCTGATGTCTTCAGTGTTCCTTTACTTTTTTTGATCAGTGTGTTTGATATGGTTAAACACATCATGTGTAAGAAATCCTCCGTTGGTTTATGTTGATTTATTTTCATAAGATCTGCATTAAAATCTCCACAAATAAAAAAATCTTTCTGGAGCACATCTGCTCTAGTGTTTTTGGAAATATCCATATCTGAACCAATTTCTTTATGTGAACAACTTACTAGTATAATCCTCCTTCTTTCTATTATAATTTCGATATTTAGACCTTCCATCATCTCATCCACTGTAGTTGAGATATTTGATATTAGCTTTTTAAAATCCTGTCAAAAGCTGCTACAATGCTCCTCCATTTTCTGTTTTGGATGTACAGTTCAGAACCATCTAAATTATTCCATCATTAATCCATGTCTCACACAGAGCTATGATCTTGAATGTAATCTCCCAGAGTTGTTGTAAAGACTCATGTTAATCTGAATTTCTGATAAAAACTGCTTTGTATTCATGACTATCTTTCCTGCTAAAAGGACATCCTGTTTGTTATTTTGTTAAAATGATTGTTTTCTGGGTGAATGGAAGCCGTGATTCATTTTGACCTGTTTTCATCTTTTAATGCTATTAAACATTATGCTGTTGTTTTGGAATGGTGACGGTCATTTGAATTTGTCCAGCTCCTCAATATCAGCACCAGTCCAGCTTCTTCTGGTCAACCAGGCAGTTTTACCCACTCCTGGCACTTCTTGTCCATGTTGACTCCATCTTTCCTCCCTGAGACGCTTACCTTGCTATCAGTTCTTTCTCAGATGTTCATTTATACACACAGCTGTTCCTCTGAAGGTTTTGTTTGTCCAAGTAGATCAGTTTAAGCTTCCCTCCTCATGTTGGTTTATAGTCTTTGACCCACATGTCAGCTTGATGAAAGGCAGAACATCCAGTTATTTAGTTAAAGTTCAATCCATAGCTACTGTATGTCGAGGAGAGACACAGGAATATCTTATCTATATAGTTAGATATCTAATTATTGCTTTATAAATTTTATCTTTATTGTTAAAAAACAAAATAATTAACTCCAAACCAATATTTAGAGATTTAACAATTTTTACTACAAACTTTTGAACAGGTTGGTGAACCAGGAAGCTTTGTAGCATCACACTGCTAACATAGACAAGACAACAATAACACCGTCACTGATTATACAATGTTGTCAATCATTTATTCATCAGTTTATATAATATGTAACCAGGAGTCCCGGGGTTTGGCCAACTGGGTCAGAAGTGTTTTAAAAGATCAAACTTCTCTGGTCTACAGTGGTTCCAATCTTTGACATCAAAAGCCATTCTCAGATATTTTACAGCCATCAGAAGAGTGAACTCTCAGTAACCTAAAAAAAAAGGGCTCATGGAGTAAAATGACAGCAAAGAGGCAGTTTGTAACTTAATTCTCCGATGTATATATGAAACTGTTTTCAGAAGGTTGATGTTACCACAGTGTCATCACAGACTGAGTAAACAATTCGGGAAAAAAGAATAGTAAAGTCTTAGGGAGAGACTGTTGGAAAGGAAAGGAAGGTGCTGGCCCGAAGAACTGAGCCTAAAGCTGTGGACTAAGGCCTTAGAAGAAACCCTGATCACCGATTGATGCACATGGAAAACCTCACTGGAATTTTCGCTCAGTCCAAAGTAATGCCAGGATTCTGGAGACGAACAATAAAAACAGAAAACCAAAGATTGGATTTCTTAAAAAAACAACACACATTTCTGCAGGTTGTGACTCCTGCGTTTGACCTCTTCTCCAGAGCAGCTGGTTGGAACCTGTTGCTACGGAGGGAGCCGTTCCAGAGTCACAGACGTTCTAAGACTTTCTGAAAGAACCCAGGCTTTGGTCCCTGAAGTCCCGCCCTTCAAGACAAGATTAAGATTCTTCCAAACATTTTTAAAAGTCTGTTATTTTAAGGGACCCTGGATCTGTGAATAAATAAAAACAAGAAGTAAAAAAAAAAATCACAAATAATAAAGAACTCATCAGAGTTTGAAGATTTAAGCAGATTCTTATATGAACACCAAAGGGAGGGTGAGTTCACCTGTCTGAGCCAGCCGTGCGATTCTTTACCTGCTGTTTGTCAGATAATATATGGAATGTTAAAAACAGTGTACACATGGCCGAACCCGAGCAAGGAGAATTCCTGAATCCCATACATTCACAGTACGTTCAGGAATCAATGGCTGCTGACTAGACAGCAGTCAGAAGCTGCTGCGATGCTTTGGGATCGGCAGGAAAAGGTGCAAATGTGCTGAAAATATCTTGGAGGAAAACAAAAAACCTGCTGTCCTAATGAGAGATGCTTCTCTCTAACAATATGGCTTTTTTAACAAACCTTTCATGATCAAAACAAAAGCGGTCCGTCCTATAAGCCTCATTTTTGCTGGGTTCACCACACACAGACATGGCAGCTCCTTCCAAACCCACAGGTGATGGATCTGCCTGCACTCATAACTCTAAACCATCGGCTTAATGTTCGGTGGAAACGCGTACAATTACAAAACATTCAGGGCTGTCCCTGAAACTTTCCACTTTCAACAATAAGTAGGATCAGGATATATGTATGTAAAAATAGAAAAGGTTAATAGAAAAGGTCATTCTGGTGATCTGTTTACATAAGGCCGTCCTACGTGCTAATAGGGCTGAACGATTTTGGAAAATAATCTAATTGCAATTTTTCTTTCTTTATATTGCGATTTAATGCAATTTTTTCCCCCCAGTTTAATTGATCATGTCTTTTTTTAAACATATACAAACAACAAATCAATCTGTTTCATCGCTGTGCAGATTAGGTACTAAAAGACACACTGTGTCCTAATTAATGATCACATTCTGCGTACGATATATTTCAACCAGAATTGCAATTTAATTTTGACTTTTCTCTACATAACCACAAGCAACAAAAATGGCCCCTAAATAAAGACAATTGTAAACAAGGACTATTTAAATCAAGAACTTTTAATGTTTTTATTAATCAGAATATTATTCAAAAGAACAGCTTTTAACTGATTTGGACATCAGTCCTTGTTGAACATCCAACCAACAAACCAGTCTATGTATTAAACTGATAAACTGGTACTTAGTGCTATGTATGAATATATAAACTCTAAAACAAGTAATAAAATTAGATTATCTCACTGCTGCAACTGTCTTCCCTTCCATGTGGAGGCAAATCCACTTTAAATATTTTACTGACACCTAAAGAACGCGTCTGATTCACTAATTGTTACATAGCCAAAAATTGCAGACGTCCGCAATTTGGAAATTGCATTTTTTTCAATCGCGATTAAATTGAAAATGCGATTAATTGTTCAGCCCTACGTGCTAATCCTCATTTTCACTTACCAGTGGTGAGTCTCACATAGTGGAAAAATGGCTAGTCTTGCTTGTACGAGTGACGCAAACAGCAACCCTTAAACAGAGCGTGCAGAAGGAGAAACGGGCTCATGCACGCTCTTTGATAGGCGTTTCCTCTCGGGAGCGGTAACGGGGTGTGCATGTGCATTTTTATTTTTTTTAGTCTAAGAGAGGGCAGGTCTTTTCAAAAATACTTTTAAATAAAATATTGTCACCAACGTTTATGCTGCAATGTATTATGGGTAAATGACATATGCTAGGTGCTGTAGTACTAGCTCAATCAAACTAAAACTGCAAACGGTCACAATAATCCTTTTCAGTTTGAACCAGAACATGTTGAGAATATAGAAATGATGAGAGGTGATGAAGATGAGGAAGAGGGGAGAGTTGGCTGAAGAAACTGGTGTTTGTGCTGCTAGGAGATGCTAACCCAGATGGAGAGAAAGCTCCCGTTACGGTTAGCATCAGGATCAAAACGTTTTCTCACATATATTACAACGAGTTCCAATGAATGAAAGATCACCAGAATTTTTTTTAAGTTAGAAGAAAAACAACATGTTTAGTCCGAAATGTTCTACTAGTCCTGGATCCCGTTAAGAAAACTAAGGGGCTTCCTTCCTCATGCTCAACAAATTAGAAACCAACAATAACCGTATTTAAGATATTAGACACAAACCATAATTAGCCAAAAACCTTTCTAAGGTTTCTCTCTTGGATCCTTCCAGAAACTACAACCCAAAAAGCTTTGTAAAAAAACAAACAAAAGGTCAGGTTTCACTGCTGCTTAACAAACAGATGGTTCAAGATCAAAAGATGAAGAAAAAAAGAAAGTATGTCTGATTTGCCAACCTGGTGTGTGATATTAGCACAGCTAGCTTCCAGTAAAGAGTCTGACAGCAGGGCACTGCCACTATAGAAATAGCTACAGCAGCATGTTGGTCAAAACTCATTTAACATTCCTCCACAGAGAGAGTTCCCAGGAAGGTTGGTTTCCATCCGGCTTCATGGATCTTATACTTGCAGACACCTGGTTCAACATAGACAGTAGTAGCCATTCAAAATGTCCCAACTTTCCTTGATGGGCCCTTGGCTGGGCCCCCTTCACTTCCTTTTAAACATCAATATTTGTAATAAAATATTCTGTCATGATTTCTGGACATTAAGATCTAAAGAGAAGCATCTTCTCCTGGACAGACGCTGTAATTCAATGAAAGGGGGGAGTCAGAGTAAAAAAAATATGCAAGAGGGGAATCCCTCCAGCAGCTGGAAGTTGGGAGTTTTTACTAACCATTAGGATGGGGTTTGATTGGGAAAGGCCATTTTGAACGGCTGCTACTGTAATAGGTCCTCTTCTAACAGTGGTTAGGCTGTATAACCATTAAAAAGTCCTGCTGAGCCTTGAATGGTCCTGCATTATTCTGGATTCTATTGCCCTGTTATTCAGCCATAACTTATCATTTTGGAATCTGAACACATTTAGAATCACAAAAAACAAACCAAAAAAAAACGTTCCAATTCTACTCTAAACAAAGCCTGAGAGACGTGCAAAGAGCGACAACTTTAGATCAGTTCATTGGCAATAAAAAGCTGATATCATCTTGATTTATATCTGGGAAGATAATTACAGTAACCCTCCTTTAACATCACAGGTTTAAATCTGAAAGAAAAATACATAAACAAAAGGATTTCATTTCATTTAGATCCAAATGGAGAGCTTTTAACTGTGCTTTTAGAAAAATAAACGGACATTAAACTAAATCTGGCAAATTTTATTGGAATGTAAGCAAAATAAACCTCTGATTTTTATCTGAAAATGACCTGAAATCATTGACTTTTGTGTAATTTGCCCTGCTTCCAGTCAGACCTGGGGTCAATTTCTAAGCTAGATTTCCTTCCTTCCCTTTGCTTCTGCTATTGAAGCTTCTGTTTGTGGCTTTAATATTTAAGGATTTTGGAGCAGTAAATCAGTAAGGGGCAGACAGGTGACCTCTTCTCCTCCTCAAATTAATAATGGCCATTGCTGGAAGTTTTGCTTCAATGATTTCCCCCCCTATTCCTCCACAGTCCTCAGTTTCTGCCGTTGGATGGTTGAATCGAAGATTTCAGAAGCTCTGTGGGCTTTTCTGGGGGCGCTGCTTTCTGTCACACTCGTGCATAAGAGAACCGTCTCCTAGTGGCAGAAGTGCTTCTGCATTTTCATTGTTTGTTTTGTCCTTCCAGCTACTGTTCTGTGCAGTCAGACCCACCACTTGTTCATTTCTGACCTTTTTTTTAAGACAGTCACTAAATGAATACTTAAAAAACATTTCTAAAAATGGAAAATGTGTTGATCATCACTCGGGGTTCTTTATACATGCAGAAAAGTTGAACTATCATCACTGCTTTAGTGGATGTAAAGAGTTTCTATTGACCTGTTCTACAAAGTGCATGTTGGTTTTTTCCAAAGCGTCTAAGGTGCAAGAAGGCATCTCTGTGATGAGGAGATGGGATGATTCGATACGGGGAATGACTTCTCGGCCTCGCCGTATATGTTGATCAGTACCGTCTGCTGCATCATGATGGAGGAGATAAGGAGAAGGGAGATTCTGTCCTCTGCGCTCTACAGCAGAGGGACTCTGTGTCACTGGACGCCCCTTTCTGAGTGTGGGAATCCCACAGAGATCTGTGGCACTGAAAAGGGGGCAGTAACACTACATGAGAGGCCAGTTTGCTTGGTTTTTCTTTAGCTGCGTTGTTCATGCTGAGGCTCTGAGGAGTCTGCTGCTGGGTGATCATCAGGAAGGATTATCACCCACTCATCAGGTTAGCAAGAGCAGAGTTCGGAGTACGGAGGGGGAGCTGCAGAGCTGGTTCAAAAGTTCAGAAAATGGTGAAAATTCTTCCCTTGAAATAATTCAGAACCCCAGCAGAGGCTCACAGGTGGGAAAAAGGATCCAGAGATCAAAGCTGGTCCTTACTGGAGCTGAACGCCCACTCGCCAGGTGATTTCTTCTTTAGGAGGCAGAGTTTCCTCCTTTGAACAGATTGTGGACCCAGGCGAGGGGCGTGGCCTGATGTCAGGAGTCGTCGTCCGTGTCCTCGATCAGGACTTTGGTGTCGCGGGTTTTTGACCTGGAATTAAGAGGTAGGAAATAAAGGCCTTCAATACATACATAAAACATACTTTTACATAAAAAAACAACTTTACTAACCATTAGTGATGATGGCTTAGTGACCGTGATCCTTTCTTTCTGCATGTTTTTTTCAGAAATGATCCACTTCTAACTCAGTTGTGTCAAAAGTATTAATATTTAGTGCTCAAGTAGAAATCCATCTGTTCCATCCAACACTTTTGTAGAACTTAAGATTCAACTTAAAATAAACTTTGGTTTTTTACTGAAGTAAAAGAGTTAAAGTACCTTTTTTAAAACTACTTAAAGTATAAAAGCCAAAGTAAAGCAAGAAAACTTGTTAAGGACAGAAGCTTTACTGCACTAGCCTATTAAAGGAACATTTTTATACAATTCTGGATGATAACTTCCTAATATTTAATTTTCTTACTTTGTATATTAATGTCTAACTAGAGTCAAATTTAACTTTGCATCATCATGAAAAACTATTTCCTTTGGCATGTGGTGAACAACATGTTGGTGTTGATGAGTCCAACCAGAAAGAAATTAATTCTCTCGATGAAGCAAATTATTTTGATCTTTTTTTTTTCAAAAAAAAAAAAAAAAAAACGAGTCTATTTTTTTAATGTGAGAAGGTTGTAAGTTTGAGCCCCTCGACGGCAGCCCACTTCTCCCCAAAGGGAGGGGATAAATCGGTAAATTTCTCCAATTGGGGATCAATAAATTTTATTAATTGTTATCTATAAGGTAACAAATTATGTGTACTTTGTTACTTGTCACCTCTGATCTAACTAGTACCAGTTATCTAGGATTAACTCAACCTGCAGGAAAAACACTGAAGACAAAACTTAGAGATTGACCACTTCATTCTGACTACAAGCAAAATATGTTTCAGTCCAAAGTATATACAGTTAGGACAAAACAACGATTCAATATAATAGAAATACTATTTTATTTAAACATGGCAGACTGAATTTCCAGCTAAAGTTCTCTGTATTTTTGCACGGTCACCATTTCAGCAGTAATTTAGCGTAGCCAAATGCTTTGGTCCCCAGATGGAAGGATCCTCTATCAGGTGCTATTGGGGTTAGAAGAAGCCAAATGAGCCCCATTGAACTGAATGAATGATTTTTATTGATGGCGATGCTGAATTCAGTTAAATGGTGAAGTGAACAGTTATATTTTAAAATAATTGCACTTTAAAAGAGGATTAGAGTTTATTTTATATTCAGTTGTCTTTCCTTCAACCATCAAAAACATTGCATTTCATCTGTTGAGCTTTTAAGTCCACATAAAAATCATTTAGGCGTTTTATTTTTAAAAATGTTTTGTGGGAGGAGTTTCATTGACAGGCAAAGGTTGTTTTCCTCGTGTTTTTGTACTGTTTATATTTCTATCAGAATTATATTGTTTAGTTCTTGCCATACATTCAGCCCTAATGATAGTGGAATGAGGTAGTAATCAGGTAGATGTCCCTGATGGGTGCTTACTGGGAGGCCAGGCGTGGTCTGCGCAGACTCATGCTGTAGCTCCTCTTCCAGCTTTTCTTGCCCTGCCGGTTCCTCACGCCGTCCTCCTGATCCATCATCTGCTCCAGCAGAGTCTGGTCGTCGGCGTTGAGCGGAGCCACACTGATGTCTCTGACAGCCCTGAACTCACCACAGTTATTTAGATGCTCATTCTCCAGTCGGAAGAAATTCCACACAAAGCGCCTGGAGAAAATAAAACGAGCCGTTAGCGGCGGCTGAATCAGAGTACAGCTCCTTCCTTTATTACAAAATAAATAAGGTCAAATTAATTGTTTTGCTTTAAAAACAAATTACACAAAGTAAAAATAAAAAAAAATCAACAAATCCTCATTCAGTAAGCGACAGCTTCAAATTTAGCTGGTGTCCCATTCTGGACGTTTGCCAGAACCGAAAATAAAAATAAAAAAATCACTCAACTTCAGTATGATTTCACTCAAAACTGGAGCGACAAACATCACCATCACTATTTAGACTCCTATTGACGGAAGTTATGTTTTTTTATTTTTACAATATGATCCATTTTATCTTACTGTACTGCGGTTACCCACTGATCTCTATTTATTGACTGGATTGCTGATTGGTCGTAAAAAGTGAAGCCACCGTCCACCATGCTGGTACTCCCCACTCCCACAGACACACGCAGTGGAAATGCCCACATCTGCAGCATTTGGCTGTAAAAAAAAAGCAGCTTGCCGGCTGTGGGACGACGTTTCACAGGTAACTTCACAAGCAGTGGACGTACTAACCAAGAAAATCCATATATACCTTTCAAGTGCTTTATATCCGATTCCCTTATTTTAAGTGTTAAAGAAACTCTATTTACAGAGAATCTTATTTAAATATTCAAATTCATATCAAGGATGCTAATTTAAAGAAATGTTTACTTGTAATTAGATTAGTTCTTACAGTGTGATAAAGTCTGATCTGCCTGATGTCCAATAACTCTAATGCCTCCTAAAGAAGTAAACCAATTTTTTTTTTTACAAACAATAAATCTAATTTCCACCCTACATGAAAAAAAAAGTAAATCCTGCTTTGCATAACATTCCTAACCTATAAAGAAGGCTTCACGTTTTCACTGTTTTCTCCTTATGATTTGTTTCTAACTTAAAATGGACAAACAAGACAACCCTCCAGTAAAACAATAGAACTGGATCGGCCACATGTGCATCAGCACTTCATCTAAGAACACAAACAACACAATATGTCAATGGAATAAGATCATTATTATAAGATATTGAATTCAAGTTGTTTTTTCTTTTTCTAAATGTCTATCGTGCCATTCCATTTGCATATCTTCTTACCTCCTTAAATAATGGAAAAATCTCTTATCATCCACTTATTTCATATTTAAATATTTGCAGTGTGAATTTTAATCTGCGGTAGTTAAGCAAAGTACATTTCAGAACAAGGCTGATGAGACTGAAAACTAGAACAACTGCAGAGTACTTTCCTTTGGATTTAGAAAGCTGAAAGAAAAGTAAAGAATCTACCAAAAGCGACATTTAATCATGAGGGAGAAACTGGAAACAGATAATAAAAGGGGGAAATGCTTTATGCACCTGAAGACTTCCAGCGGAGCCAGCAGAGTAGCCAGTATGTCGCCTTCCACCGAGGTGAGAGAGGTGAGAGTGACTGTTAGGATCCACGCAAAACGCAGCAGCACATCTTCAACTATGGCACAGTAGTAATAAGCCTGGAGGGAGCGGAGGAAACACAGGTTACAGTCAATCAATACATGAGCAGATCTGCCAGACTTTGCATAAGAATACCTTTTGTGGATAGACTATCTCCTCTCTCAGGAAGGTGTTTTCTCCTGCATTGCGGTCAAACAAGCCCCAGTCCATCTTTAGATCCCAAATCAGAGTATAACAAGAGCTTACAGTTGCAAAGGCGATGAACAAGTATAAGAAGATGCTTTCCAGGTTGGATTCTGTGGAGGAATACGGCGGTCAGTCATGGGATAAATATTACAGACATTATAGGAAACAACAGAAATTTCTCCTTTGAAAAAAACCCCAACAATATTACATGAGTATTAGCAGCAACATTGCTCATCAGTCTGTCTAAAGTATATATGAACAGATCCAAGGATTTTGGTTACAGCAGTTCACAGAAACAAACTAATACTAAATATTAAGCTGCAGCTATAGATATATACTACCTTGATTAATATTGTTTAATCACCGTAGGTTCTGACTGCGACACAGATGGATATCTAAGGGATACCTGCTGCTCTGGAAGCTTTTATTTATTTTTTTATTATAGTTTTCTGTTTTCTTCTTTTTGTTATGTTCTTTGTTATTTGCTCCTCTCATCTAAGCAGACTTCTAGAAGTTACTGTATATCTTTTTTTTCTTAATTTTTACGGCACTAGTGGCTTGTTTTTTCGACATTAGGCTGACAAGAAAGAGGGTATGAGAGAGAGGGAGAGACATGGGGGAAAGGACCACAGGTTGGATTCAAACGCGGGTCGGCTGCGTCGGGGACTACGGCCTCCGTCAATGGGTAGCGCACACTAACCACTGAGCCACCTGCACACCCGTTACTGTATATCTTTTGTTTTGTCTACTTTTGCCATTTTGTCTTAAATTTTTTCCTCTTTCCTGTCTATCTCTCTTTCTCCCCTTAGGGCCTCGTCACACCTTGCCGATTTAGACAGCGTATGCCCGACGTCCCAGAATCTCCTAAAACGCTGGCATACATACCGCCAGCCCCCCAAAAAAACAGAATAAAAAGAAAGAAAGAAGGTTTGCAGTCGCAGCAGATTCAGAGTCATGTCTGCTAGGAAGATTGCTGGTCGTGGACGTGAACGCAGGGAGGATCCATCACTCACCTTCTTGCTCACCCTATGATGGGGGTGCAGTCTGGAGGAGAAGTTACTCAGAGGTTTTGGATAAGCTGGACGCCACGACTTATGAGTAACTTACACTTAACGTATGCCAACAATCAGATAACCTACTTATATGGCATATGCTGGCATACATGGGGAAATTTTGAACATGCGTGTTTGACGTTTGCCAGCGTGTTTCAGCGTGCTCATAACTTATACGAAATGTACCCATAACTTATCCAGCGTATGCCGGCGTTTTCGACAGATTTTACGTACATCAGACAGAAGCTTGTCTAAATCATCAAGGTGTGAGAGGGGCTTTAGTTCTTATTCCTTCTTTCTTTGTCACCTCCCTATTCGTCTCCGTAACAAATGCTTTTACTCCCAAATCGTTTTGAATAAAGTTTCATTTACAAGTATTAAGTGGAACCTTATGGCAACAGTCACACTGGTCTGCTTGTGAAACCAAAACGGTTGGTTTATCATCGAGCTCTGGGAAATCTATTCCCATAAAAAAGGAAAAGAAAGATCATTTTTTTTCTTTTTGCAATCCACACGTTTCTCGTTATGAACCATTAATTAGACTGATGCGCGTCTTTGCTTTAGATGATAAAATTCGCACATTTATCACATTCAATGTTACAAATTAAAACAAGCGAAAAAAAGGATTGGGTAGCCTTGAACTGATGTCAAAATAATCTGCCTTAAAAACCCATATGGATAAGTCTCTAGTCCGTACCCACTGGATAAAGACATGAATGGATGAAGAAACGGATGGATAGATGATAGATAGATGGAGCACAGGATGCATGGAAAGATGAGGGGATGAATTAATGGGGGTGGGGGGGGTGATGGGGCAAACAATGTGGTGGCTGCAGATTTAACGGATTTCATGGGGGATAAAACATGTTAGCAAGAAATAAAGTCTGACAATAGAAATGTATGGAAAGAAACATATTTCTATAAGATATCAGAAAGATTTATATTCTGGTTACTCCAGACAGGTTTAAATAAACAGGTATCTGCCTTAAAATAAGGTCATAACAGAGTCAAACCGAAGTCCACTTTACTTTTGTGTGTGTTGTACAGGGCTGAGAAGGTGACCACGAAGAATGAAGTGGAGTACTTCCCGGCGTTGACCAAGTGAGGAAAGGCTCGCTTGGTGTCCCGATAACGGCGAAGACACTGGGCGAACCGGAACCATGCAGGGAGACACTTTATCACTGCCCGGAGGCCGTACGTGTAGGTGTTACAAAATGCCTTTTCTGAACAGAAAGACAGCGTCAGCCATTGATATTTCCAGCTTTGAAAGGTGCTCCACCAATGCTTGGTTCTACACATCTCACCTGGTTTGATGAAAAGCCCATTGTGTTTGGTCCAGTCCATCTCAAAGCTGTAGAAACAAACCATGTACTCCAGATCCATCAAAACCACCACCAGAGAGTTTAACTGGTCAGCCAGCCAGAAGTCTGCGAATCCAACATGATGAAATGGAGCGGTCACCACTCTGAACTGAGGAGAGGAGCAGACAGACAGAGCGCATTTCTGAGTTGTAAGGGTGAGGTATTCCCAAAACACTTAAAAAACAATCCACTGGACTTTGTTTCCAAGTTTGAAGACGTTTCGCTTCCCATCCAGGAAGCCCTTTCAATTCAAAATGTCAGAAAAAGCGTTGAGTTTGAGGCTCTTACACAGTAGCCCAACAAAGCCTTTAAAGAACATGCAATGGGTCCAGCCCTTTGGAAGGGGGATCATTTGGCTTCTTTTGTTACCCTGCGATGCCCCGTACATGTCTATGTCTCTGAAAGGGGGGTCGTTAAAATTGTTTGCCTGGCTGAATAGGCGAGGCCTTCTGCCCTCCTGTACAGGGTAGCGATGATAGCAGGAAGGGATCAACTTAATTGCTGCATTGTAGGTTTTTGAAAGCTGGAATCTGAGTCCACTCCCTCTGTTTAAGGTTGGAGTTTCTTTCTTAACAAAAATAGCTTCCTTCACGCCCTCTCAAACCAGCTGTTTTCTTTGTCCACAATGTGAACATTCTGGTCCTCAAAAGAATGTCCTTTGTCCACAAGGAGTAGATGTACCGCAGAGTGTTGTCCGGAGGAGGTTGCTCTTCTGTGTTGGGCCATGTGTCTGTAAAGAGGTTGTTTGTTTTCTCCGATATAAAGATCAGAGCATTCCTCACTGCATGGATCGGAAGCGAAACCTCTTCAAACTTGGAAGCAATGTCCAGTGGATTGTTTTTTATTTACATTTTTAGGAATGACTATGACCTGGATGACTGAGAATCTTCACTAGCATAAGGGTGAGGTAGTTTAGGATCATCTAGAGCTACTAAGCATATCTTCCTGCTTAGGGAGCCTGAAACCTCTTTCCCCATTGAAAATTGGGCGTTAAAGCATGTTTTTTAAACACGGGTCAACCTGCAAACAATCAGCCTTTGGCTCCCTTTCCACTGGCAAAAAAAGCTGGGTCTAAAGGGCTGGTTATACTCCTGCAGCTGTGTGTTGCAGTTAGCTTGGCGCAGGTAAATCAAATATTTTTGATTTATGCACAATATTGAAATGGGATCTGTGCTATGTCATGCCATGCCACAACGCAAGAGGGACAATCACAAACTAGCTAGCATTGTTGATGTCTGTATGTCCGTTTGATGAGCTTGTTCGCCGTCTACAACCCCTCATCCAACGCCAGACGACACACAGTTTACCCTGGAGTGTTCCCGAAAGGCTGGCCGTTGCGCTGCATGTTTTACCTTTGGGTGCAAACCAACAGATCGTACAGGATGCTAGTTTGTAGGTCTGTGTGACGGTGTCTGGGATAGTGCCCGGGGTGTGCCAGGCAGCACTACAGCCAGAGTTTCTGTCATTAGATACCAAACAGGAAATACTCATAGTGTAGAGCTGATGTAGAATTGACCATTTAGAGGCCTCCTTTCTGTCCTCCCTGCAATGCCATCTGCAGTCTGCGGTCACCTACAAATTTGTCTACGGAAGGGGGGGGGGGGCATATCTGTGTTAAGTGCAAGACTCCTTTTTCTGAGTAGAAACAAAGCTTAACTCCTTGTTGGCAAGATGTGTGGCCTCCCAGATCAGCTTCTCTGATTGGTTAATGCGGTGCGGGACATTTTGCTGCGCCTTGACGAGCGTCAACCTTTGACTTTGCATGTAAACTCGCTGCTTCTGCTGCATTTGGTGTGAACACAGCTTTTGTCTTTTCCTCTCATTCTTTCTCCCCAAGGAAAGCGGACCTCTGCTCTCCAGCCTGGACCCACAGAGAATGGCTTGATAGAATATGTACCAGAAAGCCTTTTACCATAGCTGCACAAAAGCAATAAACCAAAGACATCTTCAGGACCGGCAGGTCTGCATCTGGACAGAACAACTTAAGACTAAAGACAATTTTTAGCTTTTTAATTAGTGTTTTTAGTCTTTCTGGGACTTTTTTTTACAAATGCTCTTTTTATAGGAGGAGTTTGCCAAAATAGGAAAAATAAGCCAAAGGCCCGACTTTTAAATGTTTTAAACAGCAAAGCAAAGATGGCCATTTACCTGTCCCGCAGAGACAGACTGCAGGAGGGACTTTACCTTGATGCCGTGGCTCTGTGGAAGTGCAACGTTAAAGCCAGAATAAGACTGGAGGTTCGCTTCCACAGAGCCACACAGAACATGGAGGATTTTATTCAGCTGTGGGGTTTTAACAAAGTTTTATGTACTGTATCAGATGAGGGACAACAACAGTTCAACAAGCTCCTCATTTAATGATTTTAGCTGATACTTGTTTTTACCTTAATAGTGATTTTTTGACTGACTTTGTTTTACATAAAAAATTGGTTCTATTGTTTGAATTGTGTAAATAAAGTGTTGTTAAAATCCCTAAAATACGCATACGTTTTTTCCCCCCAAACCACTTCTAACAAAGTTTCAAACACACCTACTAAGCAGAACCTTATGGCAACAGCCATAATGGTCGCCTTGTGAAGGCAAATGTGTTGGGCCATCATCCAACACCGGGACATTAATTCTCAGAGCTATAAGGGAATTAACAGGACATGTTAAAAATGAAAAGAAAAGAACTATTGGTCTGTTGCCAGTTAGAACAAGTCAGCAATGGCTGACCAGACCTTTGACCCATATTCAGTCAAATATTTACCTTGTGGGTCAGGGTCGATGTGCCTCAGGGAAAAGCCCATAACCCTGAGCTGCCTACCAATCTGCTTATCTGTTTGTAGGTTTACCCATTTAAGAGATCGGCTGTTTGAATGTAGTTGTAGTAATGAAGCTCTTTGAGTATCGATTTTGACCAGAAAAGCTCCATACAAGTTGGATCTATTAATAGGGAGGTCTTACCAGCAGTTTGAGCAACCAGAAACGGGATTTATAGTAACAGGTTTTCGAAGGGTTGATGAGAAACAGGAAGAAGACGCCATAAAGAGCCAGAGGATTGGCCTGCATCGGAACCAAGATGCTGTCAGAGAAGAGACACGACAGCAAGCTGACGCACCACAGCACCCCCAACAGACCTGCAATCTGCATCAACACACAAGGATATGATGAGTCAGTAAAAATCTGAAAACCTTCAGTAGCATGCAGTCCATATAAACAGGCTCTGATTGGCTGTGTGCGAGAGCTTTAACCTCAAACAGATGCTGATGGGACAGGTTATTTCTGGGATTGAGCTCAAATATGAGGACATGATTGACTCCCGCCTGCCTCCAACCGTAGGTGTTGATTCCTGGAGGTGAGAAAAGAGAAGATTTTAAAAGACAGGATAAGTTATTATCTTATAGTCCACTCTAATAAACCTCAGTCTGTGCGATCGTGTTTTGCTTGCAAAGCAGCGTTACCACATTTATAAGCTTCATACTTTAAAGCAGCCTCCATGGTAACTGCTTTAGCAATACAGGCCTTTGTTTCATGTGAGGGGAGGAGATAAAAACAGACCAGCTGGAGCTGTTATTACCACAAACTATTATCTAACTAGAACGGCTGCAGGCGGCACAAGGTTACAACATCTGTGGATCCACATTCATGGATTGTTGTATTTAAACTGTTAACGGGTCCAGCAACACTGACGCATCAGTGCATGCATGGAGCCCAAAGAGAAAAACACTGCATCGGTGCGCGTGTCATTTCAGGAAAGTCATGTGACCGATACAGGAGTTGAGTCACTAAACTGTGTTTAAAAATGTATCTGTCAAAATGATGAAAAAAGTCTCATCTTTTGCGATTTATCAATAAAATTATCAATATTTTTGAAGCAGCCTAAAAGGAATAGGAAGGTTTCAGTCGTTGTTTTTATTTTCTCATTGTGTCATACTTTTCCTCTCAGTCATCACTCAGCTTATCTTAATTAAAGTTAATTTCAAATTGACTCTTGGTTTATTTACTGTTTTTACTGTACTTATTGTTTTAAAAATATTATTTAAAATTCTAGTCCACAATCATTCTCATGCACATTTTTTCCCCTAAATTCTCACGTCATGTTATATGTTTACATTATTTATTGATGCATCTAAATTTCAATTTCAATTTAAACATAGATATGAAATAATACAACATAACCTACAATAACTTAAATAATTTAATTGTTCTAGGTCATCAAATCAATTCAGTTTAGTCTGTCCAATAAGCTGCCTGTAGTGTCTTTAAAGGGCCAGCAGGTGTCAGTATTGTGAGACAGTACGAACGCAGCATCAGTACAGTTTGGCAATGTGATGAAACAAAGATGCCTCATTAACCCATTACTATAAAAAAAAAAAGAATAATGATTAAATGAATATGACTGCATCTGTGAGGCACACACGGTACCTAAAAAAATGTTACAAAATCAATTTAGAAATCCTAACAATAACCATTTCACTTGCAGCTAATAAATAAGTAGCCTAAATGTGATATCTGGTTCTACCGCTTATGAACTCGAAAATATTATTTAGTATTAATTAGTTCAGTATTATAAGGATCTATCGAATGACTGATTAATTCATGAGAACAATCTGGATCAATAAACAGCAAACCAAAGAAATAATTTCATAATTATTGTGAGGATCTGGCCACAGAGATACACTGAAGCTTTAAAAAGCTTTTTATATGCAAAGGTGGCTTTTTGAGCATGGACACATTCCTGGAAACTTTATACTAGTTTCACTGTGTAAAAGTTTAACATCATAGGACTGACAAGCATAGAGGTCACATGATTGGTTTGGACACAGCGGATGAAATGAGACTCCATGGATGGATTCAAAGGGTAGAACAGAACCAAGCGTTAAAGTGTTTTAGTGTGATGAGGCAGTGAACATATGCGTTACCTAAAAGGAAGAGGAACTCGATTAACAGGAAACCTCCTCTGTAGATCCTGATCATAGGCCAGACTTTAGAACTGTCGATCATCACAGCTCCTGTTGGGAACAATGGTTTAAATGGGACAGCAGAGGAACACAGAGAAAAAAGCAGAGAATGACTGTCATCGCCATGGAAACATCCAGATTTGTTTTATTAACTATAAAACACAACCTGCATAATTGCTAACGTGTCACTAGAATCCTGACATCTGTGCTTGGAGACGAGTCCGTCCGCCATTGGTTTAATAGTTTCCTTCCAAATATGTCCACATATTGATTATATCAATGATTGCTCTCATGATTGATCTACTGTATAAAACAACTAGTCCTTTCTGCAGATTTATCGCTTCATTACTTATAAGTAAAAAAAAAATCCAGCAAAACAATCTGTTACTCTAATATGCAGCTTAATATTTTCTACCATGGACATGTTAACAGCTCAGCCCTTTCTGGTTGGCTTAACCCAACTAACTTAGTTCACAAGATTGTGTCTTACTGTAATCAATAATTAAATTACAAACGTGAAATATATAAACGTAAAAGAAAAAAGCAAGCATTGTTTTTCAAATTTGGCAAATCTGCGAGGTTCAAAAACAACCAAACAAAATGAAAACTTTCTCTGTAAGTATGCTCTATTCAGAATTAATTACTTATTGCTGATGAAGGTTCTCAGTCATCCAGGTCATAGTCATTCCGTAAAAATTCAAAAAATATCCACTGGACTTGGTTTTCAAGATTTGAAGACGTTTCGCCACCTCTCCAGGAAGCTTTCTCAATTCAAATGTCTGGATCCGCAGTGAGTTTGAGTTTTATATAGACAACGCCTTGTATCGCTTGGAAACATGCAATGGTAACCGATGAATGGGTCGTTAGTTCCATCGTTAGCGTGTAATATCTGAACCTGTCTATGATGCTAGAGGTCGGTCGTTAAAGGGGGGATTGCCATTAAGGGGGGGGATTGTCAGGTATTACAGGAGACAATCCCCCCCCTTAATGGCAATCCCCCCTTTAACGACCGACCCCTAGAATCATAGACAGGTTCAGATATTACACGCTAACGATGGAACTAACGACCCATTCATCGGTTACCATTGCATGTTTCCAAGCGATACAAGGCGTTGTCTATATAAAACTCAAACTCACTGCGGATCCAGACATTTGAATTGAGAAAGCTTCCTGGAGAGGTGGAGAAACGTCTTCAAATCTTGAAAACCAAGTCCAGTGGATATTTTTTGAATTTTTACGGGATAATTACTTATTCCAATTTAATCATAATTAATTGAATAATCAATGAAAAAATAATCAGCTAATTTGGTAATAAATATCTGAATCTTTACCTTGAGTTATGATACACAGATTTGACCTACAGCAGTAATTTAGATCAAGCTCTCCAACTAAACTTTAAACATTTATCTAAAATATATAACATTTTTCCACAGAAGATTAAAACATTGCTATATTTATATTATTAAATGTGTATGAATATTTTCAACTAATTTCAAAATTTATAGGTACAGTCCAAGTCAGGATAATCCTACCTTTAGGTTTGGTTAAGCTATAGCTTAATGGAATATATATCTGTAATCATCAGTTAATGCTGATACTTTGATTTACAATATATACAGTATAGATTGGAGAGGCTGCAGTCAGTTCAATATATGCGCGACCAATGTTGGGCACGTTACTTTAATAAAGTAATTAGTTATAGTTACTAGTTACTTCTCCCAAAAAGTAACAGTTACTAACCGAGTTAATCCACAATAAAAGTAACTAGTTTCTAGTAAAAGTAACTGTAGGGGCTAAGACGACGCTTAAAGCCACTGGTTTGTTTTTAAACCGGAATCTTATGGTTGACGCGCTTTGCCGGGGTGAGACGGTGAACAGGAAATGTCCAGACGCTTTTCTGGCTGTTTAAAGGCTGATTTATTCCCACTCTTGCTGCTTACAAAACATAAAAATGATACAACAACCAGCTGTGAGCCGACAGCGTTTCCTCGCCAAGCGGTCAAACCAAAACACATCATTTCCCTTCTTTTATAGAGCTTGTACATATTGGCTTCTAGAGTAACTATTGCGTAACTTTTGCGTTTCTCGCCCCGTAACCCTCACCACCCGACCCCCACCTTCTCGCTGTGTGTTTCAAAAGCCAACTGAATAGAGAGGACGACAAAGACAAGAACCTGCAGAGAATTTTGCATTTATTGCAACTCAACGTGAATGACATCAGGGGAGAACGCTATCTGAAAGGACTATAAACCCCGTCAGATAGCGTTCCCCCTGCTTAACATGGGAGGAACGGTATCTGATGGGCTTCTAAACCCCGTCAGATAACGTTCCCCTCTTCTTAAGATGGAAGGAACGGTATATGATGCGGTGTAAATATCATCAGGCTGTATAACAACATTAGGAGGTCATACCTGTGATGACCACAGTGACAATCAAGACAAGGAATACCCCACAGTACAGCCCAACTCTGAAGGTTGTCCACGCTGGAGCAGGCTGTAAAAAAAAAAAAAACAAATCTCTGAAATGCACATCATCATCATCATCCGAAATCTGGATAAAATGTAAATGAAAGGAGTTTAGTGCAACTTCCAGAATGTTGGCAAATGTTTCTCTCACATGTTGATGAGTTGAAATGATACCAGGGTAGAAGGGCTAAATCCTTTGTTTATAGGTGGAACGTCTTAAAAGATTTAAGTTTTCTTTCTAATGGGTCAATGGCAGCGGACACTCAAAGTAGAATATCTTTCATAACCCACTAATAGAAACATAATTTTACATGTCATTCAAAAGTAAGAGCATGTATGGGCAAAAAAAACAAACAAAAAACATTTAACCCCTGAACCTGTGTAATACTTCTTTAAAGGAAGAGTCCGGTCATATTCAGAATTCAAACTTCTGAAATTACTTTAAATATTAAATGATTACATACTGTTCAATAAATAACCGTTTTTTAATTAAGATAAAAATTTTCAATTGAATGCGCTTTACTGGAGACATCCATGTTAGTCAAAGAACACTGCTGCCACCTACTGGTTTGTGACGTCACTGTGCAGAGATCACAAAATTCATTCAATCACTGCGATCGTAGTTGTTTTAGGTATAAATAATGATCCATTGATTATTTGTTATTGACTGGACTTTTCCTTAATCATTAGGTTCCATCATTAGAAGTTTTGGCTGATAATGTGCCAACAAGATTTCTCATTAAACGAAGCAATACATTCAAAGCTGCACCACAAAAAGCGTTTACTTTCCTTACTGACAGAATAAGCCGGAGCAGAAGAAGTCTGATCATAGAAAGTGTGTGACTCACCTGTGCAGCTCCCAGTGGGGGAACCCTCAGCCTCTTCATGGCCTTCTGACGGTCCCCACCTTCCAGCTCTGTTGTGACCAACGCCTAGCGAGCAGAGAAGAGGAGTGAGTCTCTGCTTCGTTTTAAACGCATTTCATTGCTTGTACTTGTGACAGTGCAAAGACAATAAAGTTGAATTCTATTCTATTCTATTCTATTCTAAATCTGTGCCGCGTGTCTTACCTCAGTCTCAGAGATCAGCTGAGTGATCTTCTTGCAGGTATAAAACGGAGCCACTTCAACGTGGACCACCCTCCAATCGGCCCCCTTTGAAGTTTCCAGGATCTTGTCATGTTTCTTCAGGATCTTCCTGAACCCTGTGAAGTTCAGGTTCTGACAGGATATGAAGGCAGAGAGACAGAGTTAGTTAAGTTTAAGGTTGGTTTCTAAGGCCGCACAAGCAGAGCTGATGATTCTTTCACTCCATGGAGCCTCCTGTCCGCCTCATCACCACAGGGAGCAGAGTGGAGAAAGATCTGAACACTGATCATTTAAGTCCAGGCTAAAATCTGTTTAAGGCTGCATGTTTCCACTGGCTGCCTGAATATTGTTTACTATTGCCTTATTGTTGCTGCACAGTGTTTGAAGTAAAAAGTATAACTATTACGATCATAATCCAGTCTTTAGTTCGATCAAGGTGCCTCTGTCAGATACATATGAGAAGAAACTAGAAACTGGCTTTAGATCTTCTAAAAATTTTTCATTCTTAAAGGAATAGTACACCCAAAACATGATTAGCCTTCATTTTCTACTCACCCCCATGCTGAACAACACTCTGGAGTACTTTTTTGATATCTCAAATGCATCTGGAGATCTGGGAGGCTTCTTGCTGTCTGCTGACATTCAAATAATGGAGGTCTATGGCGCCCGAGGCAGAAAGGTCCATAAAAGTCCACAAAAAACGTGTCAATATTCCTCCATACTGCTCGTCCAATGTATTCCAAGTGTCCTGAGTGGGTAGCATCCAGAATTTACTCGACACAAAGTCATTTAGAATGTTTTTAGAGCATAAACAGTAGTGTATAGGATTTCCTGAAAGCGCGTTCACGATTCTATGGAAGCCGGCAGACCAAACCAGCGCATTCAGCTCGGCAAAGAACTCATGCTCTTCCTCAACACTGAAGTCCTCAGACATTTTTTTTTCGTTGTTTCTTTCTTTGCACAGGTAAACAGCACATTTCTTCTTCTACGCTAGCATTATCGGAAGAGCAGACGCTGAATGCGCACTTTCATCTGGTTTGGTCTGCCGGCTTCCGTAGCGTCATGAACGCGCTTTCAGGAAATCCTATACACTACTGTTTATGCTCTAAAAACATTCTAAATGACTTCGTTTCGAGTAAATTCTGGATGCTACCCACTCAGGACACTTGGAATACATTGGACGAGCAGTATGGAGGAATATTGACACGTTTTTGTGGACTTTTATGGACCTTTCTGCCTCGGGCGCCATAGACCTCCATTATTTGAATGTCAGCAGACAGTAAGAAGCCTCCCAGATCTCCAGATGCATTTGAGATATCAAAAAAGTACTCCAGAGTGTTGTTCAGCATGGGGGTGAGTAGAAAATGAAGGCTAATCATGTTTTGGGTGTACTATTCCTTTAAGTGGAAAAGAACCCTGCGATGCATCTCGACACAGAGGAGTAAAAGGATGTCTCATCATTTGATGAAAGGGGGACTAAAGGGAAACTGATGAAACAGGTTTGTCAGTTTGCTGAACTGTCTCTGCAGAGAAGCAACTATGGCCCGTTTTCAGGCTGTACGCCTCCATAAGCTGCTATGCATGCCTGATGCCTTCAGAGCTCCTGGGTTTTCAGCCACTTTAATATTTCACCAGCATCCAGTTTTCTTTAGGGTAAAATATATCCTAAATAATCCACCAAAGGTTAGTTTTCAGGCAGGTTTGGAGGATCTGCTTGAAAACTGTTCCAGTGAGATGTCTGTAGTTTGAGCCATCAAGGGAATTTTATCTTGATAGGGTGAAGGAAAACCATGTGAATGATGGACGCTGTATCCAGAACTAAATCAGTTATATTATGAAGGTGGATCTACTGACATTAGGGAATAACTGATAGATTTATCCCGTTTCTATAATCAGCTGTATAATCAGCTCGGCATCAGTTTAAACCATTTGATATAAATAATTCATCCCACCCAGGTTTCTCTGTTGGGATATTTCATGTATGGTTTGAAAACTGGAGCTTTGTGCAGATGTGATAAAGTCAGACGTGATAAATATCAACAGATTGTGAACACCTCTACTGTCACCCCGGGATGACAAGAAGAGAACTTAAAAATGTTGAGTTTCTGCTGCTACATGTAGCGTCCTGCTGTAATATTAGTTGGATATAAGCAGGAAAAAGCTGCAGGGAGTATAAATAAAAGCTCCAGGCCTGAAGTATTAACTATTCTCTGTCTGTCTGGTGAACATGTGGACGTCCATGGTGTCCAGTTGGTTTCTCACAGGGTGGGAAGTTTCTTCTGAATGCCGTTTTTTTTCCCCCCAGGATTTTTCTGGCTGGAAGAAACTGTTTCTTTCAGTTTCTTCTGGAAGAAACTAGGAAGCTCAGATTTGCTAGAAAGTTTTCTTTCTTTTAGTGAAGATGGCCGCTCACACTGAGTCTGATTCTGCTGGAGGTTTTTTCCTGGTCTGTCACTACCAGCATGCTTAGCGTGAGGGATTTCCTTCGAGTTAATGAGACGAAGTAATCAACTGGTTTTCCTTTGATAGAAAACTTTAAATCAGTTTGATTGTATGATCTGGTGAACTGTAAAGTGTGAATTAGCGCTATATAAATAAACTGAATTGAATTGATTATCGTTAACAACAGGGAGTAAAAGGTAGGGATCATCTGTCTGAACGGTAAATTGACTGAGTTTACTATATAGTCCCCACTCTGTATAGTGATTGAGGGATTTAGGGGTTAGGGCGGACGTTCAGGCACAATACGTTTTTATGAGCTATGAGAACAGCAACGATTAAACAGCGTGCACGAGGAGAAATGGACTCGTGCACGCTCTCGCACGCGTTTAATAGATGTACAGGGTTGTGTACGTGCATTTTTTTTTAAGTGGAGTCTTTAAACAAATTAGCAAAAATGCTCCATTATACCTTTAAATTAAAACATTTCAGTAAAGTATCAGAGAAAAAGCTCCACCACATGCAATAAGAGGTGCTATCTGAAGCCCAGTAGGCTGTAACTGTGTGCTGTCATCCACCTGATAGTTCTGCAGCAGAATGAGGCTGAGGTAGAACTCTGAAAAGGCCAGCTGCAGATCCTTTATGTTCCTGTGTTTGCATCTCTCCTTCTGCGAAAGGGCAAACACAGTTTTTCTCCTCCGGACACCCAGCCCGTTAGCAGAGCTCTCCCTCTGGGCGTCCAGTGAGGACTGCAGCTCATTCTGCAGCGTGGCGAATCTCCGCTGAGCCTCAGCCAGCTTCTCTGGAGGGATTAAGGGAAAACAAGGTGATTTAAGGCACAAATGCTCTGGTAGATGTATGAGGAAGACTCTGCATTGTCATTACCAGAATAGAAGGTGTTGATTTTGGCTAGCTCTTTTTCACACGTCTGGAAAAACTTCTCTTCAAACTTTGCATAGTACCTCTTGACTGTATCCTCATCTGTGACTGCAAAGAAGCAGAAATAAAAAGCATACAGTAATGTTTTCATGTTAATGCTAACGTCTTTCAGGTAAAGCACTGAGGCCCACAAGTCAATGAAAAACCGTTATTATGGTTACCGACCAGCAGAGGGCGCAGTTAGACTGCAGCAGGATCTACCACAGCATCAGTCTGTAATCATGCTCTGTTTTTGTGGCCCAGAAAGACAGTTTGACACTGAAAGGAGAACTCTTCACTTTATGAGAACTTTGTTCAAGAACTAAGTTTGGTTTCAATCAAAGTAAAAAAAAGCACAGCATATCAGTGCTGAGGTCAACGGAAAGTACAATCACCTACCTATGCTGTTTATATACTTTTTTACAATTTGGGTATAATTACACGGAAAATGGATGGATGGTCAAATTACTCCTCTAAATGGGTTGCTCTGTCAGCTAAAGGCATATTTTATAGTCTTTATATTCCAGTAAACAATTAATCGATTAATAAATTAGTTGATTCTAACTTTTTTTTAAATCAGAACCAAGGCACCTTTTCACTCAGGATCATTTAATATATTATATCTCTGTTAAGGCTGAAAAATTAACCCAGATTAATAGATTATTGAAATCATTTTCAAGCAATAGTAGTGATTGAATGGAAACATGAACAAATGCATGTTTCCACGAGAGAGCCCCCCATTCAAAACAGTCATTAAAACTATTTCATCGCCAACACAGTCAAAGTAACGACAAATACGCTCTGCTTCAGGTTCAGTGAGGTCACCCAGCTTTGCTAAACTTTCAACTGGAGGAATAATTCATAGATTTATTATTTGAATCAAGCTGAAGAGGAACTGAATCAGATTTTAATGTGTTAGTCAGTCGTAAAGAGAAAGTTTGCTAATGAACTGTTTTCTATTATTACCGTCATCCTCTGTGTCTCTGAGGTGGAGACAGCTGACAGACGTTTCTAAAATGAGTAGTTAGTAATGACCTAACTGTCTGAGTGATAGTCTGGATTAGCAGGTTCATCAGATTATAAGAATGGAAAAGCCTGTGATTCACATCATGCTAAGCAGCAGCATCTGACCTTCTGCAGCGATCGACCTCTGTGCTGACAAGGCTCTGATTAGACGCTGAACTCGCAGACAGTGCTGATACGCTGGCTTTTTCTCACTGATAATCACCAGACACTGTTCACAATCTATTTACAATCCTTAACGTTTACTGTGAGCAACACAGGAGTGCAAAGTTCATCAAGGTGAAATCTTGTAGAAACATGCTATGATGACTGAAAGTCAAATCAGTTGCAAAATCACTGGCAGTTTAAATGAATTTAAAAATACTCATTTCAGTGAATCAACAAGACAAATTTTAAAGCAGAAAAAATCTATATTTCTCTCATTGTCAATTAAACATCTGTATAACCATTCTAGAAAAGTTTAAAAACAATCCCCTGGACTTTGTTTCCAAGTTTTAAGACGTTTCGCTTCCCATCCATGAAGCTTTTTCAATTCAAAATGTCAGAAATAGCGTTGAGTTCAAGGCTTTATACAGAGCCTAACAAAGCGTTCAGAAAACATGCAAATTGTAACGGACGAACGGGTCCATCCCTTTGGAATAGAGGTCGTTTGGCTTCTTTGTCAGTCTGCAATGTCCCATACATGTCTATGTCTCTGAAAGGGTATTTAAAGGGGATTGTTGGCCTGGCTTAATAGGCGAGGTATTACCATCATTATGCATTTATAAATAGGACTAATAGTCCAAATATTTTCCTTGCCTTATCCTGCACTTGGTGGTGAAGTCATTTCATGGGACCTGCATGCATCCTGGTCTGCTACTCTACAGCAGTGTGTCTCCCAACCTCTTTTGACTTGTGTAAACCTTCAGTGTTTTGTCGTACCATCCGTCCCCCTCTCACTCAAAAGTATTGACGATTGTCCAAAAGTGGAACGTACAATAACTGATTATAAAATAAAAACTTTTTTACTCAATATTTTAATTTGAGCCTGCAATTGTTAGGTACCGTATGCTTTCCATCTAAAATGAAAAACAATCTAAATAAAGTTATACTATAAATCTGCCTTTATCAAACTGGAGCTCCCTAATAATCACATTTAAACTTGAGGAATTTAAAACAAAATATAGAACAAAAATTATAGTCGGACTGATGTACTTTTACTTTGTTTTCCGCTTGGTTTTGATGTGTCAAAGCTTAAGCTGAACTCAAACATGTACAGTAAGACTAAAATACTTTTTTGTTTAATTTTTAAATTGAGTCCTCACAAAGCAAAACAGATCCCAGCCTTATTTTTTTTAACTACCTAAGAAATAAAATATTTTACTGTACCGTCTGCAATGCATTCGTGGATCAGTAGGGGTTGGGAATCACTGCTCTACTTGCAGGGGTCGGCAACCTTTAAATCCAAGAGTCCAGCCTAACTAAAATCATAGGAAGCCTCACATTTTTTATAACCTTTATAATAAAACAACTTATTCATTTTGTAAAATATCTGCTATAGGAAATCTGCTCCTATGGATTTGAATTTCTAGATTTTGGATGTTAGGAAAAATAAAAACACACAGATTATTTTATCAGATGTTGCTAATTGTGGAGAATTGTGTAAAAAAAAAACTAGATTGGGGAAGTTCACCTCAAATATAAGCTTACAGGACAGGAAAATGTTATTATACTACATTCAAAACCATTAATATGTTTTAATTTTTATTATGATCCATTATAGAGGGTTAAAACAGCCAGGCTCTGGCGCTGTGTTGCAGACCGATGGTCTAGTAAACAAAACAAATTAAGAGAAACACCAAACTAATGTTTTTATTTTTACAATATCTACTATAAAAAAATCATATAAATTTATAAAGTAAAGAATATAAATTGGGTTTGGTCATCAGACTTTTAAATGAATCATTAGTTTTCTTGAATAACAATACAAATAACAAGACTTTAAGACAATAAAGTGTAGTTTAAACCACAAGACAAAAAAGAACCCTAAATAGGAAATACTGACAGTGTATTTTCTGAGGTTGGAGACAAAAAAGTATTGTGTTCATTACATTTACATTTTAATACTTAGTTTAAATATTTGAGTCCAAAAGTGGCTCTGCGGCAGCAGAAAGCTTCAGAGTGTGAACTTTAAAGCGACTATTTAATTACTGCTGTTGAATTTTACCTTTGGTAGAGTTTTTGTACCGAAACCTTTTTAAATTCAATCTTTTTAAAAGAAAAAAAGGTTAATTTGATTTATTTACTTTAACTTGAAATAAAAAATGTAAAATTGCTCATTCTGATCATGTCATAAAGCAAAAGGTTTTTGTTGTTTTTTTACAAAGCAGAAACAGTTTCTGACTAGATCGTTTAGCTTCGTAAAATCCCAGTGTGAAATTACTACAAAAAAAGGCTGCTGCAAGTCTTTGAGGTACAGAGATAAAAATATCTAAAGTAATCACATGTTGATACATGCAGAGTAATGGTACGGTTAGATCAAACTCTAACAACAAACCAATTCTCATCCAAACATCAAAGACGCAAAGAGGCTAAATCTAGATATTGACTTAATTTAGTCAACTTAAACACAGACTGAAGAAACAAGGATTATCCTTTCAAATATACTGAGGCTAAAAAAGGAATAACAGTGTCAGGATGTAGCCTGTCACTTTTTAGATGCACATCAGTAGATGAATACATTGAATTTCAAAATAAATGTGACCAATGATTATAAAGAACAAAATGGCAACCCTGAGCATTGTCTTCAGACTTTAAAGGCTTCTCCAGACCTTCCTGCCTACAGTCATCAACATCAACCTGTTAAAGAAACCCCCCATGGCTAAAAACAACACGATGGTGTCAAAAGTACACACATTGGTTACTTAAGTAGAAGTATAGATACTGCAGTTTAAAAACACTCTGGTAAAAGTTGAAGCATCAACTTGACCTCTTTACTCAAGAAAAAGGGAAAAAGTATGAGTTTCAAAAAATTCTTAACCTCTCTAAGACATCCAGGTCGCCGGCGACCCGGTGGATGTTAAGTTGGGTAATAACTCAGAATGCATAAAATTCCACCGGTAAAAACTTTTCTACTATAGAGATGTTAGACATCATTGGAAAGCTTAGATCCTCCACAATTCAACCACCAAGATAATTTTATGGACATAGCAAGCACCAAAGCACAATTAAAACAGATATAGCAGCATGTCAAAATGTAAACAATCAAAGCAGCCACAGTGACATACCTTTGAAGGCGTCCAGTAGCAGTTTTATAAATGAAATCTTCAATTGTTTCTACTCCATTCAGCCATAAGGGTCCACAGATAAAAAGTAATCCAGCATATTAGTAATAAAAATATTCCATGATGAGAAAATCACCCATAACGTCCGGTTATGGGCAACAACACAACAACATCTAGTTTCCTTTTGGGATTCATAAAGTGAATTAAAGGGACTAGGAGATGATTTCTAATTAGAAGTTTAGTAGGCGGATTGATCTATTCACACCACATGCATAAGAAGCCTGTCAGCAGGGGGGGATTTACCATTAGGCAATACTGGGTAGTTGCCTACAGTAGGGCCCTGGGGGCCCCATAAAACTCTGTTTACATGAATGGCTAAAACAACTATTCCTAATTTGTGCACATTATGTTTTTGATAAAAAATCCTTGATCGTCTGTACGATATGTATCGTCTTATCGCCCAGCCCTAGATGACAGGACTCTGTCAGGTACTGGAAGTAAGACTTGTACAAAGTTATAAGGAATGAAGAGTTTACCATCCTCAGTGCTGCTGACCACTTAATTAGACAGCTGACCCCTCAGTCTAACAAACTGTGATCTGTTTGGTTGTTTTTAATCCAGGCTATTCTTGATGCCTCCCACTGAGTCTTGTAGAGTGTCTAACAAAGTCAGTCAAGCTGAATCATGTTTAATGCAGGATGAGAAGTCATAAAACATGATCGTCACAGCTCTGTCTGTCTTGTCTACGTGACATTGGGTTTGTTGTATCAGGTGTATAATGGC